ACCCATGTATATAGTTTTGCCTTTAGTATTACCAACTATTCCTTACGGATATCCAGTATATAAACATACAATTTTGTTATATGTCTTTACATACGTTAATATACCCAATACCTACCCCTCATTCCTCGGTATTCGACATGATACTTATCTGTTTAATTGTTATACCTTCCCTTTGCTGTCTACTATACTATAGCTTCATCTTTCCAATGGCGCATTGTCATCCTCCCTCTCCACAGTTATTCTCTTTTCTTGATTCCTCCCCAACCTTAGGATATGTCTGTGCACCCCTTTTTTCGTTGGTAGTCCTCCACCTATTTCTATTTTTTGTCAACTTCCAACCTCCATGACAGGTAACGACGTGTGTGCATGGAGGGCTGCCATAGGTTGTTTTTATAGTAAATTATCGTGTATTTCAATCACCTTTGTTCTTAAAGTTAAAAATTGTTTATTTTTATTTCTAGCATTGCTCTCCAATCTAAATTGCCTCCATCGGATCTATCTTTTGCTTTTGCAGTTGTCCCATTGCATCCACAATCCTTATAATTCAGCTTTAATTGTTTTATTGATAGCGGGCGATATTCATCCAAACCCCGGACCTAGTTCTAATAGTAGTTCATCTATCAGTGCTCTTAGTATATTACACCTAAACATTCGTAGCTTACGTAACAAATTAAATTATATGTCCTCACTAGTAGACGATGTTGATATTTTAGCCATTACTGAAACACATCTCGACAACTCTGTACCAAACTCCGACATCATAATTGATGGTTTCTCTGAACCATTCCGGAAAGATAGGAATATGTTCGGTGGTGGAGTTGCCATGTATTTTTCTGAATCCCTTATCGCCAAGCGTAGAACTGATCTTGAATTTGGAAACTCTGAAATGATATGGTCACAAGTCAAACTCCAAAATTTTCTTTATTTAATATGTAATATTTACAGACCTCCCTCATCCAACGCCAATGTCTTATGGCAGCATCTTCGACATTCAGTTGATATAGCACTCGAAGAAACACCAAACGTAATAATTACAGGTGATTTAAATATCGATTTTTTGAAAAATGATAGAGTTGATCTAAGTAATATTCTTTCCCAATATAATCTAACAAATGTTATTACCGAACCAACCAGACGTACTGATACTTCTTCTACACTCCTTGACCCCATTATTGTTAGTGATACTGTAGATGTAGTTTTCTCTGATGTGATCGAAATTGAGCGAGCAATTAGTGACCATGATGCTGCTTTCGTCGTCATTAATATTCCTGTAACAATTAAACACAACTTCAGAAGAAAAGTATGGCTGTACAATCAATCCAATGTGGACGAACTTAAAAATATGATCAATAGTATTCCGTGGCTAGAAAATTTCACCCATATGTTAAATGTTTACGAAATGTGTAATTATTTCACCGAGAAATTCTTAAATGCTGTAAATACGTGTATACCCTCGAGAGAAGTATTAGTGCGTGATGGTGACAAGCCCTGGATGAATGGTCTGCTAAGACGCAATATCAGAAAAAGGGATAGACTTAAAAGAATAATGTTTAATAATAGTACTGAGCGTAATAAAAATAATTATAAGTACATGAGAAACAGAGTAAACAATATGATTAAAAGAGCCAAGGAATTATTTTATGAAAATGTAAATACGGTGATTGACAAAAGTAATAGCAATCCCAAAACGTATTGGAAACTTCTACGAAGTATTCTTAAGGGCAAAACAAATATTGAAATTTCCCCCCTACTAGACTCTTTTACAAACGAAATTTTATATGACAATGACAGTAAATGTGAATTGTTGAATAACTATTTTAGTTCTGTATGTAATCTATCAGAAAATGACATAGACAAAGATTTACCTTTTTTTGAACGGCGCACCAACTCCGTTTTATCTGAAATCCATATAGCTCCTGGTGAAGTTGAAGATATTATAAATATTCTTAATTTAAATAAAGCAACAGGTCCTGATGGTATAAGTCATAAAATGCTCAAACTTGTAGCCAATGAAGTTTCTGTACCACTGTCTATTATATTTAATCGATCACTATCTTCCTCTGTATTTCCTGATTTGTGGAAAATTGCCCACGTAATGCCCGTATTTAAAGCTAACGATCCAAGTGTCACTTCTAATTATAGACCAATTTCACTCATAAGTTGTATAGGTAAACTGTTTGAACGTGTGATATATAAGCACATCTACAATTTTTTGATTGAAAATGATCTTATTTACAAGTATCAGTCAGGATTCCTACCTAATCATTCCACAACTCATCAACTAATTGAGTTATATCACTCTATAATTACCTCCTTAGAAAAATTTGAACATTCTATTTTAATTTTTTGTGACTTTTCCAAGGCGTTTGACAGAGTCTGGCACAAAGGCCTTATATTTAAACTAAACAACTACGGTATTTCTGGATCACTTCTCCGATGGATAACCAGCTATTTGTCTAACAGAAAGCAGGCCGTCTTTATTAAGGATTCATTATCCTCGTTCAAGACTATTAATGCTGGCGTCCCTCAAGGTTCTGTACTAGGCCCTCTCTTCTTCTTAATATATATAAACGATATTTCACATAATCTTTCTTCTTTATCTAGACTTTTTGCTGATGACACTTCCCTCTCATATTCATCACAAGACTTAATCTATATTGAAAATGTAGCCAAATCTGATTTGAGGAAACTTGAAATTTGGTCCAAAGATTGGCTTATGTCCTTCAACCCTAAAAAAACTGAAGCAATGATTATCTCTAATCGGCAACTTCCTTTTATCCCATCCCTTACCTTTGATAACACCCCAATTCAAATTACAAATCAACACAAACACCTCGGAGTTATTCTTTCTAACGATGGTAAATGGAATGCCCATATTCAGTATATTCTAAGCAAAGTAACCAAATATGTAGCAACCCTCCGAAAGCTTAAACTTATTTTAAATAGAAATAATTTGGAAAAGTTGTATCTTACCTATATCCGTCCCTTACTTGAATATTCATGTGAGCTATGGGACAACTGCGGTGTAGTAAATTCTTTAATTCTGGAAAATATCCAACTAGAAGCTGCAAGAATAGTCACAGGGCTGCCCATATACACAAAAATAGATTTTTTATATCAAGAAACTGGATGGGTTCCTCTTTCCAAAAGACGAGAAGCTCGAAAACTTGCTCTATTTTTCACTATTATTAATAACACAGCACCGAATTTTCTAATAGACTTATTGCCAAATACTGTAGGAAATGCTACTCCTTATAATCTACGTAACAACCATCTACTCAGAGAACAGCCTCTTCGTTTACAACTATCACAACTTTCTTTTTTTCCTTCTACATCAAAACTTTGGAACGATTTAAATGTTACTATCAGAAATTCTCCATCCCTTAACTCATTCAAGAATAATGTTAAAAAATCCATACTAATAGATACTAATATCTGTAAAACTTTTGTAAATTATGGTCCTAGGAAACTAAGTATTCTTCATTGTAGACTCAGAAATCGAGCAAGTCCCCTAAATTATGACCTTTTTAGAGCCAATTTACTAGCTAGTGCTGAGTGCCGTTGTGGGCATCCCTGTGAAGATTCCTATCACTTCTTTCTAATCTGTCCTGTTTATGCCAATCTGCGTCGATCTCTATTAACAGAACTAGCATGGTTTGAAGGTAATATTACAATAGATCTTCTATGCAAAGGTGACCCGAATATATCTGATGTTAACAATGCAAAAATTGCAAAGGCTGCACAGCATTTCCTCAACAGGTCGGGTAGGTTCGACTGATATATAATTATACTTCTATATACAAAATAAGGAGTTTCTCTCTCTCTCCCTCCCCTCTTTTCCCGTCTCTCCCCCACCTCTCTCCCTCTACCTCTCGCCTCTCTCTCTCCCTCTCTCTCATTATCAATATTATAACTTAAGTGGCTATTCAATTAGTTTTTTTCATCTCTTGTGTATGATACGCATTCATTTATATATGCCACCATGTGACTTGTTTTTGTACTATATTGTATATATATTGTTGGGAGAAGTCGTCTATAAGTTGGCAAAACTTACTGACCAATCCCTTTGACTTTTCTTTGTCAATAAAATATGTTTAAACTAAACAAAACATTACGTTATTTTTAGTAATTTATTCTGCTCCTTTTCTTCGCATGTCAATTGCCATTTTTGTCTATTGTGAATGCTTTGAACGTGATGCATATACAAAACCCTCAAAGTATTGGTATAATATTTAGTAGTAGGTTTGGAAAAGAATGAAAGTTTCATGGTGGCCACCACAATCTTATAGCGGGCGTAGTTGATAAAGCAGAAAATATTGGCTATTCCTCTTTTGCTTTGTGTAAATTACGCATATTTTCTTAGTTTGTTCCCTTTTGCAACTTATACAATCAATTCGTTTTCTTGTAATGTAGATGTTGATGCTCTGTAAACTGTTTTCAAGAATCTTTCTTGCTTACGATTTAATGTTGTGATTTATGAATATATATTTTAGCCTGTGACTTAACACATTACGGTCCTGACTGTAGACACGAATGCCATTGTAATATTAGTGGATGTTCAAACAAAAACGGGACGTGTCAAACACTCGGATGTACAAAGGGATGGACAGGACCATCTTGCAATATCGGTAAGGTGTACAATATCGTATTTTAAAGTATTGTTGTTATATAATTTTGCAGTTTGTTTGAGATATCGCTGTAGAAACCTTTTTCTACATACAAGTATGCAGACAGTTTATTAAAATACAACTGCCTGCTTTAAAATCTGTACATGTAAGATTTTCGTATTTTCTGTCAGGAATGCTGATATTACGTATTTTTCTTTTTTAAATCTTCTACACAGCACAAGATAAAACATCGTGTCAGGAAAACAGTCAACACGATACTGAGGTAAGCAAGAACAATATTGACATGTTCCCCCGTTTTGTGTTGAAAAAGAAAAGCGTGGAATATCAAAACTGAAAAATCACGAGTTTAAATTCATGTCCCTTCTTTGTTGTAGGTATTTACTGGCTACGCGTTGCTAGGGACCTTTCTTGCTGTTTCCACGGGCTGCAATGTCGGTTTTATAATCTACTGTTTCAGGTAAGATGACCACAGAGCTCAATTCTGAAAGATAGATTTAAAATTTGTATATCTGAAAGGCACAGTAATATTTTTCAAATTCTGAAGTATTCTCCGTTAGAGTCAAACAATCAATTAAACATCATCATATAGCTGTTTCATCCTTCTAGGACTCGTCAGTGATGATAAGGGTATGAATTTTAAGCCTAGAAGGCAAATGAGGATGATCCAAAATGATCGAAAGAAAGGTCAAAATTTAGATGAAGATGTGCATGAGCCCCATAACTAAATGCATTTTAAAATATCTGATAATTCAAAAACAACGCCATGTGTATATTTTGAAAAGTGCGGTTTTTCGATTAACTTAACGAAGAATGGTAAAGCGGCTGGTTATGGCAGCATAACTGTTGAGCATCTTCAATTCGTGTCAAACATTATCGTGGAATTATTAGTGAAAATATATAACAGTATAATACAATATGAAGTATGTCAAGAGCACTTCAAATTAGGAATCGTTGTTACGCTGTATAAAGGAAATAACAAAGACAGAATTGATATCAATTGTTATGTTCATAAAACCGAAATGTCGGTGCTTCAAAATTTTATTGGGAAAATAATCGTCAGACGGTTAGTTTTGTTTGGATGAACGGCTTTCCTTCGAAATCCAAACAAGGAAGAATCATCTCCGCCTTGTGTATGAACAAGACAACTCGACCCAGGGAATACTGATTGGAAACATACATATAACTTGTATATTATTAGCGGATGATACCTGTGTCTAACTGGAAGTAATACATTGCTACAACGGTTCCTAGATATTGTGTACAACTATTCATGTAGATGGAGACTGAACTACAACTCTAACAAGAATGCAGGTGTACTCTTTCTTCCGGAAAACACCATGGCAAATGTAACTGTGAACTTAATAGATATTGAATGGACGCATAGCGACAGTGATACTGAAAATTTCCATGAAAGAGAATGAAATTATATAATAACAAATGATGAACTGATTAAGCATTGAATTTTTAAATCATTCCTATCTTTACTTAGCATTGCCTATCCTATGTCACTTCTATAGTATTCCGCACTGCACTACCTTAACCTGTTTATAATTTCATAGAAAGGAGGACATAAAGATTATATATATATATATATATATGACTCTATGTATATATAACAGAGGAGCAGAACGACACTGGGGACACAGATTACATGGACATTGTTTAAATATCAAGTATAAAAAGGACTGTTTCTTATTTTTAGAATGCGTTCCAGGAGCCAAAGATCACCGAAAGCTATCAAAGAACTGCAAACGTTTTGTAAGTATCTTTATATAAGTATATAAGCATTGATTTTTAGCCTTAATAAGTATATTCCTATTTTCTTATTTATTTTGGATATTTTAGTACACCAAGTATAAAAGAAAATCTTATACAGAATAATATATAGAAATTGATAATAGAAAGCTCAGTTTTTGTTATGTTTATAGTTTGTTGTCAAAATAAAAGTCTAGATAATTTCAAGTTATCGATTTTAATTAATTGTTATCAATTAGTAACATCAAGTTAAAACAAATGCGCTGTAATTAGTGTATTACCATTTATTACATAATTTTTGTTATGGGCACCCGTGTAGCAACACCTATCGGAAATCTGATTGGCTGAAGCCCCACCCCTACATTGTTTCTAGTGATGTTATCGGTATTGTGCTTTATCAAGAGATTCGGAAAGTCCGAATATCGCCATTTCAGAATTTATACAAATATTACTTATTGTTATTTTGACTTGTTAATGTTTTCTAATTTTGTAATATACATATGCTTACTTTCATTCCATCTCGTGTAAAACAGAATATGTATGTATGAAACACGTTACGAACTACTGATTTCCAAATTTACCGAGCCTTTGTTGAAAATTACACCTGTTGTCATCTTATCAATCTATTAAAAAACGTGTACGATTCTCTTAATCAGCAAATGTCGTTAGTACCATACAGGTAGGGACTCACGGATGACATCTCTCCGCTTTATAATGATATATTTACAGTTTTCATTTCTTTTGTAGCGAAATCAGACCATGAGAGTACGTATGAAGGTTTAGATGTAACCAAAGTTGACACTACACGCAATGTTTATGACACTTTAGTACGACCCGAATGAGACATACAGAAGGACATAAGATATCTTTCATGCGACGTCGAAATGACATAACCATTATTTTAATTTGCGATTATGAATCACAGGAGATTTTTACTGTTTTTGTACCATTCGTCTTTCGTATATATTTTGCATATTCGTATATATTAACTCCATGCTCGGCATAAATTACCGGAGGAACAAACGGCTCTAGAATAAGCATGATGTTGAAATGTGAATTTAAGATGTCATTTTAACTACAGTTTAACAACTTCAACACTCTCAAGTATTTTAAAGGCAAATATGACGCTCTAAAGCCAACTTTCTCTCAACTCGCTCTTTCCATTTTGCCGCCGAATTAAAAACATCTTTTTTATGAATATGTACAAACGTTACACAGTGATGTGTTGAGAACAACACTATTCACCATAATCAGAGTGGCAGACACAACAAATGAGACATTACAGAATGGGAGCTCGGAGAATAGTAGCGTATAATCAACTAATATCTGCATTGGTTTAAAGCTTTGGATTTTATTTTGTCATTTTATTGAGTAAGTGTCAATGAAAAGTGATATATCACCGTGAATTGCTTAAAACCTTTGATGGCATCGTTAGTTCGTTTACGACTAGTTTGATAATTGGAGATATATTGGTACCTAAACACAGATACCCAGATTTATCTAAGCATACTGGAAATGTCTTAATAAAATCCATTTTAATGAAAATATCAATAACTTTAAAATGGTTAACAGTTTTCTGAAATTATCGTCATAAAATATATGTTCCTTGTTAATTGAAGATTATACAAAAGACACACATGTAAAAATCAGATTTAAAGTTAGATACAGGAGAGCAAAAGATTGAATTAAACTGCAGCATATGGCTATGGTTCGTCTGTGATCCTAAGGGCCTAAATTTTAAACCTGGGAGGCCAAAGGAAAAGTGAAAAGATCTAAAGAAATGACAAAATCTAGATGAGGAAGTGCGCTAGCCCCACTGTTCATTTTAATTTCATAACAACGTCAAGTACATGTGTATATTCTAAACCGTTCCACTATTCGAATGAATGAAAATTTTGCATGAGCTTACTGTAAACCTTGGGGACTTAAAGCAGCACCTGTATAAAGTAATAATAAACTATAGATGCGCCTCAATAAAGGGTAGTGATAGAATATACTTTCCGAACACAATATTCTTCAGCATACATTCTGAGTCACTACTTGTGAGCCTCTTTGCTACGACTTTTCTATCTAAAAAAATTGACCATTGCCATATATCAATATTTTTGTAAATTATATATTTCATAGTTCAACATATGAAGATTATATGTCGCCAGTAATACGATGTCCACTTGAGAAACGTATTGAAAGAACATAAATAAAACTGATCTGGGATAGGTGTATATTGACATACTTGTCAGCTTGCTTACGGAGTATACATATTGTAAGAAAAACAGTTAAATTTATGTGCTGGTGATCCTTTCATTTTTTTGAAATTTGCCTTCTATTCCTCTACTATTAATTTTGGGAATACCAGCTTCATGATCGAAATTTAGAATATTTTTTAAATTTGTGAACAGCAATTTGTTTCATATTACTTTCTTTATTGTTTTTCCCACAATAAAATATACTTAAGACCTGTACTCTGATTAGCAATAACAGGACTATAGGTATTATTGAATATATAAAACATACACAAGATGGACAGAAGAGTAACGCACAAATGTACAGTAATAATGTTGTTTGGATATCCATACATAATGTAACAGGTTAATACAAAAGCATAATTATGTCTAAAACATACCAGAAAACCATATTATGTGTATATATACATATATATCACCTTAACCTTGACATCCATCTTGTTGGCCATGACCTATAAAAAGATGACTGAACATTGCATTTTACGCTTATACACTTACCATACAAGCATTGTACAAAATCATTTACGTTTGTTAGTTTCTAAATATAAATATTTACCTAAACCTGATAGCATTGTTTACACTGAATAGATGTATCAGTAAAACGAAAAACTGACAGTCTTTTGAAATGATTTTGCTTTATAAATCTCAATTTCAAGTCGATGTGTAATATACATATCGAAATCAAATGAAACTCGTCTCCTGTGTCTCTCCAGATAACATGTATTACCAATTCTTCGTATGATTTCAAACTCTACATTTGATTGTTGAGATGATGTCAACATATCTAGTTTATTTTGCTTGTTGGTTTATTGTTGTATACCTTGTTCTCATCTGAGAGCGTGACGTTACTTACTTGGATTGACAAAGGTGAACATGTCGGGTGTCGACGATGAAACAGAAAACGCTGCTTCGTCTGGAACGCCTGGTCTTATACTCCTTGGACTATTTCAGGATTCTGCGAGTAATATTTTCATTTGTGCACATATTTTGCTCTAGTTTGATTAAATTTTAATTTGAACTATATTTATGTTGACATGTTTGTATTTTCTTTTTTTGTCTCTAGGTATACCTTTATAACAATAGTTATCTACTATACATAATGTAGATGACTTTTAGGCAAGCCTGATACTTTGTTTTACTTGATGTTTTGTTTGGAACATCAGTCAGCCTATGCTCTTCAATGTTACAAACAAAATGGTATACATAAAATGAAGACTTAAAGTTGATAATTCTGAATGTTTCTTATCCACACGTAATTCTCCTTCACATATTCATCATAACATATTTTTGATATCAAATTATCGGAGCTTTTCAACTTTAAATTGTATCTTAACACTCTAATTTTTCTCTAAACACCTAATGATAATCAACCTAGCTCACGGTGAACTAAGTCATTAAAGGTGATTTAGGAACCTTAAGTCCTTTCTTTGTGTTATTATAAATCCCCCCCTCCCCCAAACATCCAAGAAAAAAGATCGCTCACCACGTTGTCCTGCATGGATATGTATCTCTTGCCAGTGCCTTGTTACTAGAGTGCTAGCAAGCTTTATATCAATTACCTCAATAAGATACAATGTAACTGGTATCTGTGATAGACCTCGTCATTTAAATACATAATCTGATTATCGGTAAAGATTTGAATTGAAATTCGGTTAATTTCAGATCAAGCTAACACATTAACTTCACATTGCCATGTCGTTATGTGTCACTGATTACATGTATTATTAACAACTATAAATTATACTAAACACTTCAGTTCACGACTGTTTCAAGATATTATTTTATATCACTTATATACTAAATAAAGACGCGTGGTGATTAATGTCTCGTGAAAAACTTTTCTAAACATTTCACAGGAAATACACAATACCGAAACATTGATCATACGGAAGTAATTCATCTAGTCGCGGTGGGTTAATGTTTTGCAGAAGTATCTTCCGTGCATTTGAAGTACAGCTTTAGAATATCTTGGTTGTTAATACATGTTACGTGTGGGCACGAATTAATCACATGACAGACGTGTATGTAGCCCGGCTGTTCATGTGCATGCACGCATTTATAAAGAGAGTATTATTGTAACATGCTCAGCGACTGACGCTTGTTTTTGTTGAATTGACACACAAAAAAAATATACCAAAATATTCAGATGTCGTTTAAGTTCATTTATTAGTAACATTGGAAAATGTGACACTAAAAGTTGAAAATTTAAATTTTAAAAGTCTTCAAAATCAAATATCAATATGCACTAATATACAGTGTGTATGAAACAGTTGATATGAAAGTTCTATGCAAACATATGATAATATAATTGCACTTCACATATGTTAGATTTGCAAGGAATTTTTATTATGAATGTGAAACGTTTGATATGAATGTACAATACATATATTGATAATATGAATGTATACCACTGATGTATGTTATGAATGGAATTTTTATTTAAAATGATTATACACAGATGCATGGTGCGAATAAAGTGTATAAATGCTTCTGTATGGTGTGTATACATGTGAAAGAGGTCATACTCTTTCACGGGGATGATCGTTTTGTTATGTAGGTCACTTTTTATTATTCAAGTGAGCACTTCCTACGAAATTGATAGGTGTTTTTGTTATAGTGGTGACCTCAACAATGGGAGGGATGTTTGTATCAGAGAGGTCTCACTCTACCACGGAAAAAAAACTATTATTCTTGGATGTGTTCAAAATATTGAAAACAAATCGACTTAACTGAAATATAAGCATTGGATCTTGCTTTGGTCGATTTCATAAGGTGATGAATAGAGTTGATCTTGAGGCAAATTCAACAAGAAGTGCTTCGCAGTTCATTAAGTATATATCATATGATATGATATAGTATATCATATAGTATGTAATGGAGTTTGGCAACCCCACTCATGCTTTTCATCATTGGTGATTTTACCCTTATATATTTTAACAAATCTTTGCTTTTCACCATTCTTATATGAATAATGCTATACTGTATTTTTCATGTGTGTCATCTTTATGTCTATGTATTAATGTGTGTTGCAAAATGCATTGAACGTCATCAGACGGTGACCAATCACATCATTCTTTGTGTTGTTTATGTTTCAAGATGGAGGATGCATGAATTATGTAATTTTATATTATAATATTACAAATGATAATTGAGGGGTTCATTAACCAAAGATCAATTATCCACGGGAAAGATTGTTCGTACAGTATAAATGTTCTCTTGTTGTAAGAGTTTTTTTCTCCAAGACCGATGAACGGCGTAATAAATATATGGTTGTGAACTATACTGAAGCATATTTCGTAAAATAAAGTTCAGATCAAATAAGAAATTTATGGAGGACGAAACCATAAAAATGACAGAGTTTCTGGTTGACAGCATCTTCATCGAATTTGGTGGTAAGTTTTTCCAACAGACTATTGTCATACTTATGGTAACTAACTGTGACCCTCTGTTGGCTCACCTGTTTTGGTTTTCTTACGAGGCTGAATTTACTGAAGAGCTTTTTAAAACAGATCCCAAAGACTTTTCAAAGTTGTTTAATTTGACTTTCAGATATAACATAATCACATCAGGAGAGGCATATTTCATGTGAGATGTAGAGGTTACACTACGGGTGGATGTTATATATATTTCTTCTACTCGAGGTTTGATAATTATATATCTATCAGTCGATTACTCAATATCGGAATTGCATTAT